ACTCTTCTTCCTCGGTTTTATTCTTTGTGAGTTGTTTGTTAAATTTGCCTAAATGATGGGCCAAATGACGCTCCCATGTCTGTGTTTATGTGATCTATTTCTGGGTTGTCCTCCATAAGAGTTTTAATCTCGGCAGGTACTGCTGCCATTATTGCTTTACGGAACATCTGCACATGTTGGTCATTATTATTGGGACTACAGTCAGTGGCCACTGTGTATTCTTGGCGTGACCTGAGCAACATGGTTTCTGCGGCCTCTCCAGGTGTAAATGTGAAGGACAGTGAACCGTAACCTCCTCCTGTCTGTGGGAAATGTTCTCTCATTGCCATGCTCAGCAAGCTGTGTATGTTGTTGGAAGAGATGGGCTTGTCATCATTCATTTTCTCTGTTCCTGCTCTTTTCTCAACTCTTTCTACCTCATAGTGAGAAGTCTGTTGTGCTAATATCCTCCTGAAATCTCCAAGGCAGATTGTTTGTCCTACTGACATATCAGCAAATCTACTCATCCAATGTCTCCCTCCCTCAGTAGGTAGGGGCATTTAGTCAACTATAGCATGTATGTCTCCTAGTGTGAAAGGATTGTAAGCGATCTTCCCACTGGGGAGAACCACTAAAGGCGCCTGTAATGCTGGGCACATAAAGGCATGAGACGTGGGGTTTTCTGAGGTGTGTTGGGATCTTAACATCCTACGGGGGAGTGTAAGCACCTGTTCTTCAGGCAGTTCAGTGATTGTTCCTGTCAGAGATATATTCTTAACCTTGTTCCTACGCTTTCTGCAGTTGTCCTCTTCCTGTTCTATTAGCCCTCGCTGAACAGTGTCCTGATAGCTATCTCTGTGTCCTGTGTCTTCTGCTCCAGAGTAACACTTATCACTTTCATCTCCAGCTGCTCCTCCTGTACTGACTGGGTAATAGTGGGTCTGGGCTCCTCTACTTCTGAAAGGGTCACTTGACCCCCCCCCCCCTCTGAGCATCTGTCTTCTGTTCTGCCCTGGCTGTCTTGTCTATCTATGCTTCTCCTCTGATTCACTGGCTCCCTCTCAGCACCCTCCATTCCTCCTATTTGTTCACAGGTTTTTATATAAGCTATTGCTCCAGGGCTTCTACCCTCTCTGTCACCTCCCTGTTTTTGTCTAATTTGCCTCCCTTGTTCTTCATAATCCTGCTTGTGTTGTCTTTCCCTTTCTTCTAGTTTTTCTGCCATGTGGAGTACTTCTTCCTGTGTGGGGTCTGCGTGGCTTCTTGTAATATTTTCCAGAATGGAAACAAACCGCTCCCTCTCTCTATCTGCCTTTCTTTTGTCTGATGGGCTTTCCTCCTCGGAGGAAAAAAGCATCTGTTCTGGGGTGGTGCAAGCTGTCTGTAGGGTTTCATTTATTTCCTCCCTTTGTCCTTCATTCCCTCCAAGTGAGGCAGAGTTCCTCTGACCTTCTGATCTTGTCTTTGTAGTGGGAGTGTTCCTTAAAGGAGTCAATGCTACATTTCCCACTATTTTAAAATGTCCCCCTCTTATAGCAGCTATTTCCTGTTCTGAATCGGATGATGTGCCTGCTACCATCATTTGTAAATTAGTCACGGGTGGCGCGCTTGGGGTAGGGAGAGCATAAGGGGGTGGGTTCTTAGATTGATCGGCCAGGTCCGGGTAAATGAGGGTAGACAAGATGGGAGCAGACGGGTCCCCTATAGGTCCTGCTGGAGACCTCTCCTCTGAGCTAGCCTTCTGTGCCGTGCCCTCCTCATTTACAGCACTGCGGATAGTTTGCCTCCCTATGTCTTCTCTATCAGAGGCAGAGGTTTCATCTTTATTTATATCCCTAAAAAATTTGACGCGTTTTGCAATATAGTCAAATATTTCTCCATCCGTAGGTGCATGCGTTGACACTGGTGTTTCTTTAATGTCTTGAGGGAACAGGAGTGTGCCAACGTCAATAGAGCGTTGAAACTCCCCTCCCTGTGTTTGGGCTGCTATCATGGTTTGGGGATTTTTGGCTGGGAGGGTAGTAATATTTGCTCCCTTAATGGTGAGTGCTGCGTTATGGCACATCCTCCTTAATCTATCTACCGCCTCTTTCTCTTTGTTTAGTTTGTTACGGCCAAATAATCCGGGTTTTTGCCCGTTTAGGTTTCCAAACAAGCTGTCGCTCATAAACATTTAGCGCTGAGCTTAAACTTCCTAAAGTCTCATCTCCTCCTACCCTGTCCTCTTCCATCATTTTATTTTTTAGGAACCTCAGGTCTGCACAAACCTTTTTCTGTCTCTCTGTTTGGTTCCACTGAGAATCAATCTCTCAGTCTGTTCCCATTGTTCGCGGAAGCTTCCGGGAATTGGAACGCCTAAATCACTCTTTTCAAATTCTCCTTCCATTATGACTTCTATCTACTTTTTACCGTGACTAAGAACACTGAGAACGCCGGTGACAACTCTAAAATGTTTGTAGCAAAGCCAAATCACAGATTTTGGTAATCAACAGGTATCTGTTTTACCTTTGTATCATGTAGGACGTCCTGGTTTAGTTGTCAACGGTGTCCAGGTGTCCTCCCCTGGACTGAATTCCGTCCGCTAGCTGTCGGTGGTCCTCCTAGAGACCAGCACTCATCACGTCGGGAGATCACCAACTTGTAGAAGCAAACACAGTAGTGGTGGCTTAAAGCCCACCTCTGCTCCGCGCCGTCCGTTTAGATGAGCCTGGTCAGATTAATAAGAGAAGTTCAAAACACCAGCATAAAAGTTATAACAATAATCTGATTTTAATGGTAAAAAACACCAATACAAGTTACAGAGTACTCTGGACTCCCAGTTCTACTGCTGTGCGATACAGGTATCGGGACCAGCCAGTCAGAAACAGGGGGCATTTCGCATGAATAAACAACAGTATATATAGACATATTTGGGGCGGAGAGTCACTTCACTTCCTTCTTGCACCTGAGTTCACTCCTTTAATTTCCCAAGGAAGATTTCACACAAACTCTATTCTTTCCCAGACAACCAAACATTGTACACTGATATATTGGTACATTACTTCTGAACAGAGCGTGAGTAGACAAAGCCAGAGTCAATCTTTATCTTCCACCTAACTTTACTCCTTTACTTTCCCAAGGAAGATTTCACACAAACTATTCCTTCCCAAACAATCAAACAGTGTACACAGATATATTGGTATCAAACATTGTACACAGATATATTGGTGCTTGAGATTATATTGGCCCCAGAAAGAACATGTGTGTGTGCTGGTGGGAGGAAGTGTATGTGTGTGGGTGTGTGTGCTGGTAAGAGGAAGTGTATGTGTGTGTGTCAGGGTATCTAGGTCATGGAGTGTAAGTAAGAAGGTTTATATATATATAGGATTACTTTAAAACAGTCCCAAATAATACATGTTCACTTCAATACAGTTCAAGATAATACCTGTTTACTTTAATACAGTTTAGAACAATATCTGTTTGCTTTAACAGTGATTAGATGTTCAAATAATGCTCAAGAAATGTTACCAGTACATTTTTTTGGATAATCGTGTTTTTAGGTTACCAGCTTCATCAAGAACAACGAGTCACCGGTGCGTAATGTGTTTATATTAGGACTGTCAAACGATTAAAATGTTTAATCAGATTAATCACAGCTTAAAAATGAATTAATCATGATTAATCACCATTTAAACTTTGTCCAAAATATGCCATTTATTTATGTATATTGTTGTGGGAATGGAAAGATAAATGAAAGAAGGCGGATATATCCATTTAACATACATATGTATGTTTATTATAACATTGTTCTGTGTGTCAAAATGAAAGACAGCCCACACACCTATCAATCATCAAACCGTGGGGTCTTAATTCATTACGTGTTGATTTCTATCAACGGGGGAGTACTTCAGGAAAGTCGACGGGGGTGGGGGGGGGGGGGGGGGGGGGGGGGGGCTAGTGGAGTACTTCGTGACCACAGAGTGTGAATGTTGTGATCAGCTGTTTTAGCGCAGTTCTCCAGTGAAGGGGGGGGGGGGGGGGAGTCTCCCTCCGCAGCCGGTTGGCGTAGTTTTGGCACAATTCCATTGTACAGACCGACGTTAACAGCAGCCCTGTCTGTGCACACGGAGACTCTGTCGTCCGGTGATCTAACCGCCTTCTGGAAAAGCTTCACAAGTACGTCGGTACGCAAATGCGCTTTGTGACACAAGTGACGGTACGCATTTCAGATTACGCACATAACCTGCGTACCAGTTATGTGCACCCCTGTACTACAGCAAAAGTATTCTCCGTCGGGACTTCCTGCAACAACACCACGCCGTTATCTTGATTCTGATTGGCCAGAAGACATTATCAAAGATGTTCTATTGAGAAGACGATCACTACGTGACAAAAGTTTTCAAAACCATTTCTGGTCTTCGGTATTTCCAGACAAGTGGCTACTGAAATCAATCTTACTAACTGCTGTCTGTGCAATTTACTCGGCGCGAGTTGGCGGACTTTATTTTGCTTACTTTAACATCATTTTTCAAGGTGGGGCTAAGCCATTTCTTGGTATGGCTGTCGCCTACCCCAGCCATACCCTGGCGCTGCCACTGGTGGGATGTATGGGGCGGGCCATTCTGCACATGCGTTAAATGCGTTAAATATTTTAACGTAATTAATTCAAAAAATTAATTACCGCCGTTAACGCAATAATTTTGACAGCATTAATATTTAGCTAACCATAATTTCAGTTGCTAAAAAAAATAAATGGGGAGCAAAGTAATAAAATAATTCTAATAATTTCTCTGAATGCCTAGTTGATATCTTGAGGAAATTAGTGAAAATGTTAGGTTGTCTTTGAGGTTGTCTTAGATTTATTTTCTTTTTAAAATGTACCTTAGGCTTAAAGGTGGGGTAGGTAATTTTGGAGAAACCAGCTCGAGTACGCTATAATTTGAAAATACACAGCCGGAACAAATCTGCCTCTCAAACTTACCTACCCCACCTTTAAGCTAGCTAGAACATTTTGTAACATCTTGTGAATGTTTGTCTTTTCAGGCCATGCCTCTTACTGACTCTGAAAGCGAGCTGGACCAGACTCTCTCCAAATCTGAGTTGCAGAGTCAACTGGACATCGCCAACTTTAAAAACAAGGAGTTTAAAAGGGAGAACTCAATGTTAAGAAAGTCCCTCTCCCTTTTTCAAGGTCAGTTCCCCCCTTTTTGTCGGAATACACCTGAATATGAACCTGAATGTCACACACACACACACACACACACACACACACACACACACACACACACACACACACACACACACACACACACACACACACACACACACACACACACACACACACACACACACACACACACACACACACACACACACACACACACACACACCATCGGCATAGATTGCGTAATAATGTATTGCGCAGCTTGGAGGTGCAGTGCAGGCATATTGTCATTCAAGAGATGCGTAGTTCTTTTGGAAAACATGTTTTCTTTTAGCCTATTTACCTCGTTAACGTAAATAATACTCATTACATTGACACATGCATTATTTGTGATTAAAATAATGGTTGCTGGTAATGTATTAGCGACCCCCACAGATGTATGGTTTCACTGCGTCCGTGGGAGCTCAGACCTCTCCTTATGGGAGCTCAGCTCCCATTGGCTCCCACATAACTCGAACCCTGGATGGGGGGCAAGAGGGGTAATTGATTTAGTTATATATTCTCATACATTGTTGTCCTGCATGTACTTAATTTGTTTTCCATTTGGTATCTTTTCAGATGAGTCAGCCTCCCCCGCCCTCCCTGCAGGCAAGTCCAAGCCTAAAGTGGGCAAGGGCGACAAAGGGAAAGGCAAGGCCCAGAAGAGAACCCACCCCCTGGTGTATCATACAGCTTCACAGAGGCGCAGGAGGAGGCAATCGCTTGCAGGGTGAAGAGTAAGAAGCTACTGTATGACATAAAGGACAAACAGTACAAAGAGAAGGCATTCAAGAGGCACCTATGGGAGGGAAAGGCTGCGGAGTACAGTTGGATTGTAAGTAGAAAAAAATGTACATTTCAATCACTTTCAAATATTTGAAATCTATTTCAGATACTTGACATACATGTCAATGAACATTTCAATGATTGTACTAATTATTTGTTTTGATTTCTGTCATTGCAGATCATTCAATTCTGAAATGGTAACACAGAGGACTCGATTCTCAAAGCTGCGGGAGGGCCGACCCAAGAAGAAATCCCAGAAGAGGTCTGGTGATGGTCTGTCGAGTGGTGACGAGGAAGACCCCATCCTTGCTGAGGAGGCCAGTTGTAACAACCGGAAAGGTAAACACCGGTAGTCACTCACGGTAACGCCCACCCAGCGATTCGCTGTTGGTTGGCGTCTCCATTCAATTCTCCCTATATAGTTAGACGGAGCAGGAAGGGGAAGTGTGTGTGCAGCAAGAGAGATCGTCGGAGCAACACGCTCATCCGTTTAGAAACCAGCAGTTAGGTTGTTTAAAGTCTGTGTTACCGTTTGTCTGATCCGCCGTCATCATACCCTTCTGTCGCTTCACGTTCCCGGATTATTGTTTGCAAAACTGAAAGGAGCCGCTCATCTCCCAACCACCTTGAAAACCAGGACTGGATTTCCAAAACCGACTGGATTAGTAAAAATTACTGACATTCCCCCGTGGTAAATTGACTGTTTTATTTATTTTGAAGAAAACCCGAAGTGGAACGTTTTGGATTTAAAATTGAACGGTGGGAAGAAGGATTGTTTGATTGTTTGTGGGGTATTCAAAATACACTTGCTATTATCATTTTGAGTTGTGTCCTTTCTTATATTTTCTAATGTCATTCAATGTTGGGTGTTTGCAGTGAGATGGATACACCTTTGTGCAGTACTTACTAAAACTGACTGACTATCAAAATCTGAAACGTCACGAGAGAGACCTGACTGGCACCCCAAAAAAGTAAATAAAGAACCTAAATAAGTAAGTCAAACTGTCACACAGTGAGAATGACCGTGACAAGTTCATCCGCCGGGTCTTTGGGTTTCTGAAGCCACACATCAGACGTCACAACAAGGAAACACCAGCTAGTGTGAGTATATCATTGATATTAAATTAAAACGGAACTTTGTCGAAAATGTTCAATGTCCCACATTTTTGTTTCCAAATATAACTTTCAAATGTACTTATGTTTGTTTTCTATTTTTGTCTTTGCAGTTTAAGGACAAGTTGGCCCTGGCTGAGACGGGTGAGCTGGCTGGGAGTGACGACAGTACCATGGCAGGCAGTTTTGCAGATGAATCCAGGGAGCCCACCAAGAAGTACACTGGCTACCCTACACCGAGACCTCCTTCCAGGACAGGAACAGCTGCTGAGGACCAACCCGAGTCTCCTATGGAGATGAGAGTTACCGGAGCATCATCCCGTGATCTCCAAGAAAGGCTGGTTCAGTTCATCACTAGAGAGCAGCCACTCCTTTCTGCAAGTACCTGGAAACTGAACTGGATCGTCTGTATGATGCCTGCCTGGAACCTGCGTATGAAGACATCACCACAGTTCTTAACCAGTAAGTATATAAAATTGCATACATTTAAAATTCATTTATTTGATGTCACACATTTTATTGCATGCTAAATTTGAGCTTGTATTAATCCTATGCTGTTTGTTTTTGTCTTTCCAGTTACCGGAAGATGTCCAGACAGTTCAGGATGAGGGAAAGCGGCTGGTGACCAGATCAGTCCCTTCGTAGATGTCCCGTCGGCATTACAGTCGCAGCAGCAGAGGCCAGTGGCTGTGAACCCAGTCTGCACATCTGCCCTCCCCAGCAGTACCTACTTCTCCGCCAGCAGAGCGGCCTCCTCACCGCCAGCAGAGTTCCAGCCAGTGGCCTAGGAACCCACCTCCGGCATCAGTGTGGAGATCCCAGGAGTGTGGCTACGTAGAGCAGGTGAACCAGCAGCACAACTTGGAGCAACAGCAGCAGCAGTACCGTACCCTCCAGCCAGCCAGCACTACTACTCAGGGCTACGTTCCTTCTCCTCGCCAGGCTGCATTCTTCCTTCTCAGCAGCAAATCAGTGGTCCTTGGCAGCTAACACCCCAGCAGCCAGTCCAGGGTCCTCCGCCGCCTCCTCTTCCAACTCAGCAGTCCCAGCACAATGTGACCCAAGACAGCCTCAATATCTCAGCTTTACTGCCACATGACGAAAATTAAAGAAAAAACACACAAACTTGATTGTATGTAATAAAAATTGTCCGTGATCTTTTCAGACTTTGTCCTTTTTTTGGTTCTTTATCTTACTTTACAAGTTATTATCATTTCTATGTTAAAGTACTATGGGACTTTACATTTTGGAAACTTGAGATTTTTCTAAATCTAAATGTTGGGCCTTTATTTGATTAATAAGTGGAAAAAATAAGAAGAATTTTCAATCAAAATTTCAAAAACAAAATGTATTACTCCATACACATTTTGGACATGACATAACATGCTGTAGTTTAACATTTCATTTCACTCATTGCAGCGTGCCGCTTAATTATTTAAATAATATTTAAGCTTCTTAAAAGTGAAAATATTTAAAAGAGAAGGGTTTAGAAAAAGTGTCTTTACTATAGGAAATATGTTGCCTACAATGATAAGCAGGCATTTATTTTTCTTTTCTTTTTGTTAACGAGAAACATCTATTAGAACAGGCCCAGCCGAAATTACATTGGCCCACCCAAAATTGAAATCCTGGCGCCGCGGCAGTTGCAGATAAAACTGCAACGAAAGTAACGAAAACAATGTAATATTCTTTTCAGTTTCACAGAACACAAATTGGGTTGTTTACATGATTTTGTTGTGCAATAAAACACCCAGAGAAGCGATCTGCAAGGAAACATTGCGCACCGTGTCCTCATGCTCCTGTTTCACCTGCTTAATACAGGTGTCATCACTGCTACTGATTTCGATTGAGCAGGTCACAAATAGCAAGAAATTACAACGTGAAATAAGACAATTTTTACCTGTAAGAGTTGCTCATCATGTTCTCTGAGGTGCATCAAAAGAAGAAATGCTGCTGCCTTCTTTTCCCTTGTTGTCTCGTCATAGTATGCCATTCTGCAGGAGCTGAATTGTGATTGAAGCTTTGGGAGTTAGCGTTTTATATGTCCACGTTACCACGTTACCATGACACATGGGAAACGATGTCATACAATGCCCTCACGAATGCCTTACGAAGGGCAAAATGGACACACGAAGTCAACACGAAAATGAACCTTCGCAAGGTCCTTCGGCAATGCTTTGCCATGCCAAAGATGTTGCCACCGCTCCCGAAGTTGCTGCCGGAGACTGAGAAACTCCACCGGCGGTCATACGAAGGCTTAAGATGCCCTCACGAATGGCCCGATGTTCTTACGATCAGAGCCGAATTTGAACATTTCCTTTATCGTGTGTCCATCGGGTGTCAATTTCGGGAAGCTTTAGGAAGTGGCATATTTTTTCCGGTTGTGTATTTTTCAAATTCTAGCACACTCGAGCTGGTTTCTCTAAAATTACCTACCCCACCTTTAATTTACAATGTGTTATATGTTTTGGGTGTTTTTACTTTAGAATGTTACTACATTTATCAGATGCCACTCAATCGCTTAAAATTCCTAATTTACTGATGGGTAAATCTTAACCAATACAGGTTTAATGCCATGGATATTTAGAAATGTTATTTTACATGTTCCCTATGCTGCAAGTGTTAAGAAGTTGAAAAGATGTTTGAATTGCTTCTTGGGTTCACAGACTGTTTGAGAGCAGTGACCTCCAGCTCGACAGCACAATAAGCCACACGATTTATGTTATAAAAAACAACAACATAAATTATGCTTTTGAGTAAAAAATGCTTCTTTTTTATTCAGAGTGTGCCCTGGTGTTACCCCTGCATTCTGCCTGCGTCTGTCACCAAGCAGTGAACAAAGCCTGGCGGGTCGATACTCTCTGAGCAATGGCCTTCACTCTCTCAGCGAGTATCTCAATGACTGTAGGTTTGCACAGCGGCCGGTGTGTGTGTTTTGTATCCCAGTGTGTGATGCCATGGCCCTGAATGAAGACGTACGCTTACCCCTAGATTCCACCGGGTCCGGCTGCGCCCGCAGCGATCGCGGCCACTCTAGTCAATGGGTGCTATTCCACCAGATGGCTCAGAAGCGTCCCAGAAGCGTCTCGCCGCTGGGCTCTGCTCTAAATAGGATTCAAGTCTATTTTACGACGCAACGCAGCCATAGGGTAATGTCGGGCAGGCAGGAAGTGGAACGTTCAGAGCATATATATATATATATATATACACACACACACACACACACAAACTACTTTTGCAGTCCCTATCCCTCCATAGTCTTTCAAGTAGGAGGAGAAATGCCAGCGTTCCCCTCCGGTCTACAGGCACTGTGTAAATTATATATATAGAATAATTATGATGATGAATGCATTTTTCTACCACTAAAATACAGCAACACATCTTTGATTCATGTCGTTTATAACTGGGATATTACAATTATTATTAACTTTGTCTGCACAAAGTAGCCTGTCCAGGAAATATGCCCAAATCAACAAAAACTGCGAGCCGGTAGGCAAGGTGCTCCGCTTCTGAAACGCGCCCGGTAGGATATGACGCCGGAGGAGGACGGACCAAAACTGCGGCGCAACCGTGACGCGACGCAGACGGACCCGGCGGAATCTAGGGGTTAGACGGCAGAAAGCACCCTGTACTCCTGTTGCTTAGAAAAGTACAACTGGGAACACAGGCAGTGGTGAAAGTAACTAAGTAGTGTACTCAAGCACAATTTTGAGAGACTTGTACGTTACTTGATTAGTTCCATTTTATGCTACTTTTTTCTTCTATTTATCTATCTATCTTCGATTGTGATTAATGATGTGAAATCTAATCAAGTGTTGAATCAGACTTTAGTTCCACCTGGAGTAAATCCACAAGCTACCCTGCAGTATACAAAGTCATTCAAATGGCATACTTTTCTTGTTTTATTCCTCTCTGGACCCCAGCAATGCAGAGCTCAGGGAGTCATATTTGACCAAAACCTCAATTTAGATAAATGTTATTTCAATGGTTCAAACCTGTTTTCTTCATCAGAAAGATGTGGAAAATCTGATCAAGTACCAACAATCTTGTAATTGTTATCCATGCATTATTATGTATGTATTTAAACAAGGACCATGCATAAAAATACATTAATCTCAGAAAAGATATGAATTATGCCAGATTATAGCTAATTTCCATCTGCAGTCCTCAAGCAGGTACATAACAATCAACAAACACTAAAAACATTACATAATCTCTCACACAAACAATTATAAAACATGATTTAAGTACAGGTCAATAAAAAACATAGTACAGTTAAAATATAATATTACAATACAGTTCAAATGGAAAAACTCAGATTACAGTGTAGTTAATGTTGGCGTGACTGGTTGCTTAATATCAATTTTTTTGCACCATAAGAGAATTAGTTAAAGTCAGTAGGTTTTAAGTTCAACTGGAAGAGTATTCCAGTGTTTGATGGCCGTAAATGAAAATGCTGATCGTCCAAAGGCAGTGCGCCTCAGAGGGACGGTTATATCTGCATTTAGTGCAGATCTTGAGTTTCTGCAACTCTGCTCACGGCGAAGCTGAAAAAAGCTCCTCAATGGTGGTGTTGTAGAATTGTGAATGATTCTGAATACCAATCGAACTCGGGAAAGCAGAACAAGACCATCAAAACTTAAAAGTTTGTATTTGGACAGTATATTGCAATGATGGTGTTTTAATGACTTTCTATCCATAACTTTTAAGGCTTGTTTATAAAGAACCTCAATTGGTCTCAGAACAGTCTTAGTTGCCTGGGACCAGCAGGTTATGCAGTAGTGAATAATTATGTGAGAGAATCATGCTGTGCAATTTTTTTTTTTATGCTTCTATGGTTAGTGACATTTGAAAATGTTACATTTCTAGTCATGTTTCTGATATGGCTTTCAAAAGTCAAATTGGCATCCAAGATAACTCCCAAATATTTGACCTCATTAGGCGCATTCACACCGCAGTACTTTTCCCACAAAGGTTCATGAGAACTTAGTTCATGAGAACTCTTTAGTTCTCATGAACTAAGTACAGATCGCGTTCACACCGGAATAAGTCCCTGGGGGAAGATTAGGCAAATGAAGCCGCTGACGACACTTCTTCTTCTTTGGGTTTACTGGCAGGCCGCAAACCACTTCACGGCGTATACTGCCGCCCAAAGTCCCCGGCCGGAAGTCCCCGGAGTAGGGGACTGGCTTCAGTAGAAGCTGCTGGGACTCCCAGCAGCTTCTACTGAAGCCTTCCGAGTAAATCGCCAGAACGCCGACACCTCCTCATCTCCACCGCTCCCATGTTTTATTTTGTGTTGCCATAAGTTAGTCTCTGCGTTTCTGCGCTGGGCTAATGCTAATAATGCTAATGCGAGGATAATAAAATGGCGGCTTCACAACTCCCTTTTTGGGAGTTTTACGGGGCGTGGTTT